TTATCCACAGCCACAGGCAACACACCACGACCGAGCTGCTTGACCGTCTCCGGCGGCTCCTCTGAACTCCACCCAACATAGATACCTGGGTAGTTGGCAAAGAGCTCCGCAGGCTGCGTGTACTTGTACGACTTGAACTGCCAGAGTTGGCCCGTGGTAAAGATGCCGACAACACGGCTCCAATACGTGGGTTTGAAGGATGCGGTGCTGTCGACGCAGATGAAGGTTAGGGGCTGCGAGGATATTGAGGGGAGGAGACGCTGGATTTGGATCATGTTTGCGCTGGCGGACGTGGAGGACGAGTCGGTTGTGTTGGGGGGTACGAAGACGCCGTCGGAGAGGAAGGTTTTTACGTTTGAAGTGCGGAGGAGAGAGGAGGCAGAGGGGGAGAGAAGGATGATGGGCTGGAGGCGGCGCTGAGGTCGCTTTTGGAGGTTTGCGACGAGGGCGGGTTGGGGGGCGGGGACTTTGGGGTCCGAGGGGCGAGCGCGCAGGAAGGTTGCAGCGATTTTGCGGTAGGGGGAGAAGTCCTAGGGAGTGCTTGTTAGCATCGTATTCATTCGTGAGTCTTTTCACTCAGTAGATTGTATACGTACGACGTTCTTGGTGCCCCTCAACACGCTGTTGTGATCTCCCATTTTCCTCTCTCCATCGTAAATCTGAAGTAATCGCGCATCCATCATGCCTCCTGCACTTCCTACCTTGATGCCCTTGCCACCATCAACTGGAACTCCCTTCCCACCCGCAATGGCAGCAGCGTCACCCGCCGCAGCGCTGAGAGCACCCCCATCTACAGCAGCAATACTGTCACTGCTCTCCGTCTCTCCACTCAGCCAGGCAATCAGTTCAATCTTCTGTGCAAACGTCAGGTTTTGCACGCTGCCTCCTGCACCACTTGGCAGCTCCTCGTTCAGCGTCTGCACGGCGGCAAAGTAATCCGTAACGGAGGCATCCTTGTTAAGCCATGCAAAGTAGCAGCTGCGCAAGTCAACGGGCTTGCCATCAGGCGCGAACCGCGTGGGTGTGTTGAGAGCAAAGTTGCGGTGTTGGCCCGAATCGAAATTGAACGAGATGTGCGTTGCTTGGGCGAGATCGGTGACGGTATCTGCGGGTGTGGGCGTTGCGCTTGTGGTGAGGATGGGTATTGCGTTGGCTTTGATGCTGAGTCGTAGGTTGTAGAGCGCGTCTGCGACTTCGGCTTCGGCGGCGGCCATGTTTGCGTTGTTTGGCGCGTCGGGCGTGTGGAGAGAGTAAATTGTCGTCGAGGACGATGAGAGCGGGAGTCGCTGTAGCTGTTGGGTCGAGCTGTTTCGCGACAATGCGACGGGGGACTTTTGGGGATGAAGCCGGGGTTTCTCCGATTGGGGACGTGCCTCGGGTTTCCGCTTTTACAAGTTGGTCGTCCTTGCACCCTCTATGTTCGATTATCGACTTGTTTACCGAGATAAATATTTCATGTTTTCACAAGTTGCCTGTTTAGGCTTATAGTTGCAAAAGGGATCATCAATTTTGTACTCTGCATGCGTAGTTCGCTTCACAGCTCACCTGCAGGCAACGAAATGTTGCCTCCTTGTCCAAAGATCCTACTGAATATACTCCGAAATACTCTAAGAAAGGTATTACGTAGTATCTTAAGTGGTGAGATGAATGTGAAGAGTGAAACCAATTTGGGGCTTGAGTGAATGACGTAAGGACTCGGATGTTATCGTAATAATACACAAATGGCATCCTTTGCTAACAGACAAAACCCATATTCATTGTGTGAGAAAATTGCGTAAGCAATGCAATCTGTGCACATTCTGATTTGTTGCAAAGAATCAGACCTAAACTAGTACCTACCTTTTCTGCTGCCTGTCTCTGAAAAATATATTGGACCTATCTCTCTTACGAATAATGATGTATTCTACACATGTGTTGTGTTCCGCAGATATCCATAGCTAATATGGAAGCAGCAACACAAAACTGAGAGGCAATGAAGCGTCAGAGAAGTGAGATGGCTTTCTGTAGCCCGGTATAGTCGTGTACAGGACGCTCTAGCACCAAGGAGAGAGAATGTTTGAAAACCAAGACAAGAAACATTCATGTGCTCTCAGCTACGCATATAGCAAATATAGGTATAGCCCATATACAACCATGAATACGTACCGGTTATTAAATCCGGGCCATCTTATATTACAGATCAGTGGGCTTCACACGTGTGGTTCCTAAGGTACCTCAATACGTCGCACAGCACATATATCTGATTCCTACTCTGGCAATTGTCCTTACTGCAGGGCTGTTGTACTCGCGCGTGTTAAACAAGACGTGACTCTACAGTATTTTGCGGATGCAAGTATCCTGAACTAAAAGTTTCTGAGATGCTAACCTCTGTTTTCTGCTGCGTTATGGTTTGCCAATAAGGTTAACTGCGTGTACTGGATTTTTCCCAAAATAGCGTTCCTTACTTCGACAAGAGCTGCACAGAAGTTTGTGTATATTTAGAATACCATTCATGTCTGAGATCTCAGCTCGCTTGTCATGCGGGGTTTGGGGATGAGAGTCATTGTTGAAGTGAAGAAGGTACAGCGAGTTAGCAGATATGGCTACGTGTTGGACAAAGAATCTACCTGCGTCTCAGAAGAAGGTTCTGTTGGTTTAGAACGAAAACAGATGAGGCAGGTAAAAGATGCACCAGAGAAAAGGAGGGGACCATTGCAAATTGAGGGACGTAAAAAAACAAACATCTACATATTTCTTTTTTCCACAGTAGCAACAAGACTGCAACAGAGATTTTGAACCAGCTACAATCACATGCCATGTCGGAACTCTTACAAACCCTTCATTGAGATTGAGAGTGTTAAAAACAAAAACCTGGTTGCAGCAAGGTGCACCGTCTGAACTGATACGAAGTCTAACTTGATTGTTCCAAAGATTGGTCATGTTAATCACGCAGCTGAACAATGCAAATAACAAAAGAGTCGGGTGGCTAATCTCCGAAGAAAAAGGATGACATACCACAGACAATAAATGAGAGCCTTCGGATTTGTTTGACATTTAGTCTTGGTACCGTGTCCCCCCCCAAAAATCAAATATCAACAAAAAAGAATGCATATGGCAGCGGAGATTCGACAATGATCACCTACCTGACTACTAATCCACCGAAGGACTGACTGTTTGGGCTATCTCAAACATGGTGCAATTTCCCGTGGTCATATGTGAAGGAAATGGTGACATTGAAATGATGATGAGCAGGTGAACATGGTAGGCTTAGCATAGAACAACGTCCAAAAGCAAATGAAGGTTATTTGAAATCCATACATTGCAAGGATGTGATACAAGGCACTGGTGTATCGGCGCAATTGAAGTCAAAAAGGTCGACTTGTGTGCAAGAGTATGAAGTGTCGTTGTAATAACGTGCCTGAAATATACCAGGGTTCTCGACATGGTTAGCCGATAAGTAAAACAATGAAGCGACTTGCGGGTACGCCCCGTTTCCTCTCCCGTCCCCCATCCCCACGGCAGGATTCCGAGTGCCAGAATCTTGGAATAAGGATTCCTTGGGTGTTGGGACGGACAGATTTGCTCTATAGTGGCCAGTTGGAACGCCACTCGCCTGTGACGGACATGAATGAGACTATGGCGCAGACTTGTGGCGTCTAGTAGCGGCGTCTGTTGGGGCAGCGTTAGCTCTACTCGAAGCTGGGTTGGATTCTGTCGTACGTACACACAGTCAAAGAGAACACTTGATTGAACTGCAACACTCATGATACTGTTGTGACGTCTCGGGTACCAGATGCGACCAATAGAGATATGCAACCTACTCTAGTATCTAGCCTGCGACGGTAGTATGGCCCCAAATAGATGCATTGAGTTGAACCGCCTCCAAATGGGACATGACAGTATGGCAGACGGGTCCTGCACAGGGAATTTAGCAAACCTACCTTGTCCCTGCAGTAAGAGACCAGTGCATGTGCATGGAGGCGAACTCTTCGAGGGACTTTTGGAAAAAGTCCGGGCGCATACATACAATACAGCAGGCGTCTTCAAAACCTAACGACATTGGTCGCTGATACTAGTGAGACGGGGGGATGTCTGAAACATGCGCCAGTCAAAAAAAGCAGTTCAAGAGAATGGTAATTTTGAAGTCATGCATCTTTCCCGTTGGCATCGCATAGTGCCCAAGATACATACGCCAACAGGGATAGTGACCTGTAAGGAACGGTAGGAATTGCACCAATCCAAAGCCACGGGTGACGCTGCTCTGCGATGATAGGAGAACTCATTCGGGTCACATGCTCTTCGCAATACCTTACGGAAAGGCTCAAGTGAATGCGGGTCGTGTCTGTCACCCGGCCGTTCAGAGTACTAAGCGAAAGTCGGATAGGGTACCAAAGCACGCAGTAGGGTAGGCTCCAAAATCCAGGGTTCAATGGCTAGTGTTTGCCGCTTGGGAAGACAGGGCTCTCTGCTTGGATCCGTTCCTCGCCGCAGGCCCAGTGCATGCCTCGTGGAAGCCAAGGGATGAACAAACTTTATATCCTTGCACAATCAGCACGCGACATGAGTGGGTCAGTATCACTGCTTTGAATGCTGGGTGGTGGTAGGTCAGAGATGGACTTGACAGCGCTGGGTATAGCTTGCGGAGGGTGGGAGAAGGGGGGGTTTTTCGGCTGGTCTCTCGCAGACTCGCCATTCGGTAGCGCCCGAAAATGTTTTTCAGGGTCGGAGGAGTCTCCCGACGACTTGGAAACTGGACTGCTTTTGCAGCTAGATTGTCAAGTGCAGGATCTCGGGTTCGGAAGCTTGCCTGAGCTAAGGCCGCCCCAACCCCTGTTTGTAGCGGTGGAAGGCCTGAAAGACGTCACTCTAGGGCACTGATTGTGATGCAAGGATAGCTCTTGTAGAGAGCGCTCATCGGAGACGGGAAGTCGACCCGCTGCCGTCAAACCGGTCACCTATTCGAGTGGCTATTGAGCTGATACGATGCACAGTTGCGCCGAGCGGGCCAATATATTGCCCTATCAGTCAACGGCGGCTAACACCTTTTCCCTTCTGGCAGTGACTTTGGAAAAGGAAATCAAGGCAGAATTGTCTTTGTGGCTGACTCGGGTTAGTGGTGCAGACGCAGCACTAGGGACAAAGTGGTGTGAAGACGCAGCGTCTTGCATTAGCGCCCATGGGTGAGGCTGGTGATGGATTGGCAGTTGTTTGGTGACCGCATTCGCACTGTCGAGTACGAACGGAGCTGAGCGGCCAAGACGAAAAGGAGGCCAGTCGACGGCCCCACCAGGGCACTGGCAATGGCTACTTTCCGTGACGGACCAACCAGAGCCGGAAGTCCGAAGTCGCTCAGGCGCGCTGTCTACGAATGTGGCTTGGGTCGTTGCAGCGTGCGCTGGATGTGGGTGTGTGTATGTGTGTGTGTGTGAAGAAGAGCTGGAGAGCTGGTGTCGAGCGTAGCTGGCACACAGGTGACGGACCCACACCAAGCCCATACACACAAAGCACACGAGCAGTTGAAAAGCGTACAGACAGAGGCGTATGATTGCAGAGCCTGGTAAGGGTGGGCAAGTTCAGCTGGCTTGGACCTTGTCAGGACTTGCAGCAGACATGACGGCAAGGCCTAGAGACTGATAGCGTGGTCTGGACATGGGATACTGGAGAGAGAGTTCACGTTCCAAAAGAGTCCGGTAGGGTGGTTGACGCCATCAGTCGATCCACGCCATACCCCTGCACCCAAGTTCCCCCCCCCCCCCTAGCAGCCGAGCCAGGTATCAAAGCCAACAGGGCCCGGTCGAGCGTCGAGCAGCAGCAGCAGAGAGTGGTGGCAATTGACCTCGCTATTTTGACGCCGATAGGGCGAGTACTCCACGGGCAAGTCGTCTTCAGCTGCCGCCGTCGACCAGAGACGTCCAATGCCCAAACGCAGGCGCAAACTCTAACCAGAAAGCCCATGTACGTGACCGACAGCCGCACACATTGTCTTTTGTGCCTTGTCAGCACAGCGCAGCACCATCAGACTTGGCCATGTCGAGACAGAAGCAAGGCAGGCTTTCGTCAGGTTCCGCATACCATGCCTCGTCTTCCCTGCAGCCCGCCACGGACTGCCGCACGAGCAAAACCTTGGACGCCACAGATGACGGTGGTGGTTGTGGTGGTGATGACGGGCATGGTGAGAACGGTGATAGCATCAAGAAGAACAGCAATGGAAATGACGATGATAACGATGGCGGCGGAGGCGGAGGCGAAGGCGGCGTCATCGGCGTCGGCCGCGGTGATGCTGGTGATAATACTGCCGTCGCTTGGGTGTGGGGAAAGCAAGAGTAGCCAGAGAGAGAGAGGGTGGACAAAAGTTGCTCCTGGCCATGTGAGTGTGAGCATCCTCGGCAAAGCATGGACAAGGCTAGCTTCAATTCACTTGCAGTTCCTCGCCCCGGCCATCGCCCACAACGCTCGTTGCCAGACAACCTTTGAGTCTCTGCATGCATCGCCCTTGAATCAAACCCAGGCACGCCGTCTGCCAATCCCCCTTTGGACTGATGCCATCTTACTCCAGAGTCGTATAGGTAGTATAGCATGTACCCCTCTCCCTAGCCTACCCGGCCTCAGATCCGTTGATCCCTCCACAAGCCCGCCCCCCATCTTCATCTCTATTCCTGCGGGCGGCCCTCTCCACAGTCATAGCGCAAGCCTTCCCTTAACCCCCGGTCTAGTTCCACCTCTTCCGAAGACACATCGCACCACCGCTGCCGAATCGAAACATGCCTTTTTGCCCTTCCCTTCTAGACATCCCAAAGTCCGTGTCCACACCCGTTCTTTCTGCGCCATACGCCCATTGCTCACCCTGAATCAACACGCGCCCCCCATGTACCTTGTTCTCTCCCACACCCCCTCCCTCCCAAGAAAAGTATAGCCCCATTTCTAGTTCTAGACTATCCATACTCTGTCTGGTTTCTTGACGCCTGATGTGGCCATCGTGGGCACGCCACCATTGACCTACAGCCTCCCGTCCTGTACGAACAGCGGCAATAAGTGCCGCTGACTCCCTTTTTTTTCAACTTGACAAGCGGCCTCTGGTACCTGGTGCGTGCTTCCCGCCATCGTTATAACTAACTCTAGAGCCCTGACTCCACATGGTTCCCGCCGGCCTCGAAGACCGACCCCGTTTATCTGCTTCGGTTTCTTATACGAGGCCTTGACCTCCAACAACAAGACCATACTTCTACTACCCCATCAGCCAATTGACCAGTTCGGCTGCCTTGTCGCTGATTCCTCACTCGAAACTTCCACTTAGCAGTTTGGCTTTTTTTGCCAAGTCGACCTTCTCCGGCTTTGCTCCACCCGCCTCCCGAACGAACCAACAACATTTCGCCATTTCCTGCTGCTGGTCCCCAGATCCAAGCAATCCCGAGGTATGCCATCCATCCCGCCCTGCACCTCATCCTGATTTCATCTTCACCCTACTAAACCCACCCCAGTATCTACTCTATCCTGCCCAATCTCCCCATCTCTTGAAGAAATGGCGAGTGCTCAGGCTGCAGCTTCATCCTCCGGAGGGGCAGACGAAGTCCCGCCAGCTGGGAATTCTGGCTCTGCATCAAACCCCAAGATGAGAAAGAGGACCAAGACTGGCTGCCTCACCTGTAGAAAACGACGCATAAAATGTGGTGAAGAGAGACCTACCTGCGCAAACTGCATCAAGTCTAAACGCCAGTGCGAAGGATACAACCAAAGAGTCATCTTCAAGCCACCCATGGGAGACTGGCCAAATCACCCAGGGGTAGTCAGCACCATACAATATCACACCTCGATGCTACCAGGCACACGCAATCAACCATATCGAGGACCAGAGCCAAGTGCCCCTATACCAGAAACAACCCTCACCTCGATCCAGCCACGACCGATTGGCAACTTCGACTTCCAACATGTCGACCCACAACCAGGTGCTGGGCCTCCACCACCGCCACAGCCGTTTGTTGGCGGCAATCTCAACTATACCCACGAGCAGACTTATCAACCACCTCTACATTCACCACCCCACCAACAGCCGCTCATATCTCCCCATCACCAAGCACACGCCCATCCATCGACCGTATCATACTTTCCCCAGCAATCTCCTGTGCATATAAACCCATCAGAGCAGCTCGGCCAGGGACCCAACACAAGCTCTCAACAACCATTACCGTACAATTCTGGCTCTTCATATCCACCCGTCTCTGTTCCATATAGCAGTGATCACGAATTGAAGCCAGTAGGCCCTCCGCCTCTTTCTGGCCAGCAGGTGTATCCACACGCATATAGGTCGGATAGCCTGCAAGATCCTGATAATGCTTACCAACAGCAATCTAGTGTTTCGCCACAGAGCGATCAGTTTGCTCAAAACGCGGAGGCAAGGCCGGGCTTTCAGCGATTTAACAATCTTCCCCACGTTGCTCTCCATTCATCGCAATCTGAAGGTTATAATTTTCAACCGGCGATTTCACACACTGACTTTAGCTATCCAAATTACTCTGCCGTTCCGTTGCCTTATGATATGAATCAGGATGTAAAGCATATGCCACAGCCTGTTCTCGGTATGTCTCGTGTCTAGTTATATACTTCTTATACCCCAATGATTATTATTATCTTTTTTTTTCTTCTCTTCTTCTTCTCTTTCTCCGTGTCTCAGTACCGGCGCAGCATCACTTAATCAATGTGGTGCATGCTTTCTAAATTCTCCAATCCATATTGGAATTAATATCGTGTCCTAACAGCTAACGATGCCATCGATATGGGAACGAATGGGATGGCTGACTGTGATGAGCAGAGGAGGTTACACACGTATCAAAGCCCCCAGCATCCCATCCACAACTACTTCTTAGCGGATTCGGTGGCGAAGATCATGCTAGCCCTACACAAGTGCTCGACGAGGCGGCAGTAGAATTTGAGGACGACGATTACTGGGACGTTCATTCAGATGAAGACATGATTGATGCAGAGACTGGGGAGGACGAGAATGCACTGCTCACGAGCCAGGAATTCAGCGCCATCCGGCGTATACATTTGGAGAACTCCAACGAGCTAGGGATCCGACGCTATGATGCCTTTTTGTACGATGGCCTTCTGTCGCACTATAAGCCTGAATATGCGGCAAGTCCCTTGCGCAACCCGAAGACAGCTCGAGTGTTTGCACATTTCATTCATGTGGTAAGTGGAATACAACTTCTTGGGCTTTGTACTCTTTATGCGGGAAAATAAACTCTCTCTTTGATGTATACGTACTTGGACACAGTTTCGAGCAAGTAGCTGATAAACTTGACAGACAGCACCAACACTATCGATTTTCGAACGAAACCCAAGAGATCCGACTTTGATATTCGAAGGCGCAACACCGCCATCTCAACAGGGACTATGGACGTACAAACTCCCATTGAAGGCTTTGAACCACCAGGGCCTGTTACATGCAATGCTGGCACTTGCCAGTCTGCACATTGCACGATTGCAAGGAGCGTCGGTCACACCATCTTACAAGCATTATGCATACTCGCTCAAACGTCTTGTTCGCTCGCTTTCACACCCGACAAAACGTCTATCTATGCTCACGCTGGCAAACTCCTTACTTCTGGCTTGGTATGAGGTATGGACGGCAGAACACGTTAAATGGGGCACGCATGTTGTCGGCGCCCAGCAACTCATTACTGAGCTCGACTTCCGCTCGCTTACTCGCGAGGCACGACGAATGCAGGCTGCACAAACTGCAATGGAGCGGCAATTCCCCTACCAGAACCCAGCGATGCTTATCGACCAAAGACAATTCGACCTGAAATTGAAAGAAAGTTCACTGATGCCAGATCAAAATCTGGTGAGCACCATTGTTGGAAACAAGGTCAACTACGACGACTTTGGCATGGTTTTCGAGGACGATGGGGCACGACATGATACGAAGCCAAGTATTACCGGTGGACTGGATCTCAATACCTATGCAACTCTTCAAGATCTGTTTTGGTCGTTTGCTAGACATGATGTTTTTCAGAGCATCGTAAGCGGAAGTGCTCTCATGTGGGTGGTCCTGATGATTTTCAGAGTTGCAGCTAATTAGTAGCAGTCACCCGTATCACAAATGGTCTGATTGCCCTCCAAGATCCCCGCTCGGCCGACTCGATGCTTTATACGGCAGTCACGATCATCTCCTACTCCTTCTAGGCCGCGTTGCAGACTTCACTGTCAAAGACAGAGCACGAAAGGTTCGACAAGTCGAAGCAGATGGTGGTTGGCGACCTCGACCTGGAATTCCTGGTTTTGGTAACATGGGACCGCCAGGTGGTCCCCCAGGTGGTCCCCCAGGTGGTCCTCCGGGTGGTCCTCCGGGTGGTCATCCAGGCGGCCCTCCAGGCGGTCGATCGAATCCTATGCAAGGTCCACCGCCAGGATGGAAAGGGCCACCCCCTCTAGGCTTTGGTCCATCTGGCCCCTCTCAAGGTCCACCTTCTCAGGGCCCACCCTCTCAAGGTGGTCCGCCTCCTTCAGGCATGCCCAGTTTCTATGGAATGGCCCCGGCACCAACCTTAGCACCACAGATCTCCGGTTACGAGAATCCAAACTTTAAGCGTCCAAAGCAAACACCAGACGTGCCCCAACCAAAATATGATGATTTGTCTGCTGCCTACGCCAATGCAGTAGCGGAATGGGAAAGTATTTGCGAGGCACATGCGGCAGTTGAGCGAGTTTTTCAGAACACAGAAGGTTTTGCTCCTTTGCCGGAGGATATCTACCCACCGCCTCCGGGAGAAAGACAACACGCACAGAGTAACATGACGCCTTTTGGGAAAGCCATTTCCCATCGAAGCTATGACATATCCATCTTGTGGACGCTCCTCTACCTGGCTAAGATCATCCTCTTACGTTCCCATCCCGGCATGCCTCCAGCAGCGCAAATGGCAGCAGGAGTGTGCGCAGCTGCTACTGCGCCATACTGTACTTTAATCGGCCGTATCACAGCCGGATTCCAGATTCCCATCTCTGAGGACCTTTCTCCCTTCCTTGGTGCTATATTCACAGAGGCAACCATGTCCATGTTCTTCGCCGGTGTCACCTTCAAGGAACCTCATCAACGGGAGTGGCTCATCACGCGTCTGTTGGAGATTGAGCGAAGGATAGGCTGGGCTAGTGCGGGCATGATTGCTAAGGGATGCGAGTCGGTATGGGAGCAACAGGCGAAAATGAAGAGGGGGCCGCCGTATGTAAGGAGGACAAAGCGAACCATGAGGTTCCAAGAAGAAGAGGGGTATGTTGAGGATCCGGAGTATGCCAATCCGCGTGGTCCGGATGGTCCTAACAGTGATGAGAGGAGGAAATGGGTGAGAGATGACTCGCAAAAAGAGACGAGGTTTGTGTTCAAGAGTAAGCTACCTCCTTGGGCTATGAATGTGTTGAGTACAGAGGAGGATTTGAGAGTAGGATTGGAGAAGGTTGGATTATAAGAAGAGATGGAACTGGAAATACCGTGATTAGGAAAAATCATCACCCATGGATATGTAACAATTGCAAACTGTTACACTTTACAGGACGATTACGGGAGGGAAGGAGGAACCTCTTCCACGGGGGAAAAATACGGCGAGTTGCCAAGTCACGACAAAACAGCGTTAGAAAGAAGAGATCAGGGCGAACGCATGAGAAGCGTGTATACCCACATAACGACGTCCCTACTACTGCAGTCTGTCATGCAGTCGATCACGGCATGCAACACGAGCGTTGGACTTTCTATGACGACCATGACCCTAAGAGCAACAACAGCAGCAATGGCGATCAGCGCCAGGTTGAGCCAACACTGCATATTTCCCTCCTTACAATTCTCTTGCATAACCATGCATGAATACTCAAAACGGCTCTTTCCATACTTCCAAAAGCCACGACATGACAACCGGCTTATCTCTACACACTCGCTACACACAAACTTTCTTTCGCCCCATCTTCTCCAACTATCCCCGTCACACCGACAACGGGAATTACACCAAAAAAAGAATATTATCCCAACAAACTACTAACCCACCCAACCGGATCCTAGCCGGTATTCGCTTCATCTACCCCTGTTCCACTACACTCTCACCTCGGCATCCGTTTCCCACCCCCGACATATCCACCCAGCCACCCAGCCACCTAGCCAGACTAGTCACCACCATAAAAAGCAAAAAAGCGACCGAAACCAGCAATATCCATGCTCACTCCCAAGAACTTTGCCGATACGAGGAAAGCATCGACCCTGAACCCGGGAAATGGGACGAACAAGCAAAGTTGCCATAGACTAAACAAACAAGC